GAAGGACTAAGCGACTGAATCAGCTCACTCATGATGAACCACGTCGAACGACGAGGATGTTATAGGGATCATGAAACCCACCCCCAACACAGTTGAAGGCTCCAGGAGCTCAGCGTACAGCTACCGCATGCAATCGTTCCTGTTCAATCTGAACATGATGGGCCAAGCATATTCAGAAGGGTCGAACTTTCTTTCGAGTCACGTCAACCAGGTTCGAGCTGGAGTAGAATGCACCACTTCTCGATCAGAAGTCGGCAATCTCTAGCAAGTAAAGAACTTTCCTATGCAAAACATGTCATTTTGGCACAAAATTTACTCTAAATTCCCTTTTTGTACTGGAATACTGCGCTAAATAGAAGTGGAAAATCATGAAATTCAGTAAATGAAGTGCACACTTTGCTAAAGGTGCATCCTGCAATTCCACGATGTGTGGACGCCTTCGTCACCCAGTGTTTCAGGGCCTGCGTTCGAGTCGCAGGCCCTGAAGACGTCCCACCTCTCAGCTTGAAAATGTGCGTTAGGCGCCCGTGACGAAGGAAATGCTCCGCCTACCTCGCCTTGCTCCACGCTGCCTGTTCATTTCTGATAGCAGTCTGGTGGTGCGGTTGTCCTGCCACTAGCTGTTTCTTACAATGGTGAAAGAGAAGCTGTAAGGAGAAAGCGCTGATATAGCTATTCCGCCATCAAGTGAGAACTCTCCGATCACGCCCCCTCTACGCATTGTAAATGTTCAAGCTTAAAGGCAAAGCCCGCGATCATTCGCCATCACAGATAGTGGACTAGGAGTTCGCATATATAGACGACAAGGTTCTGAGTAACTCGATAGTGAAGAAAAAAGCAGAAAAAAACATGCCAACTGCCCTGAATAGAACCCCATTCCGATCCCAGTTTGTACGTGCGCAATTACCTCCATCTTCAGCGCTACGCCCTCATCCGCGCAGCTGATTGATTACCCGATAAGAGCTCTACGATACAAGTGACGATGTATTGCAGCTTCGTTTTTCCACTGAAAGCCTAGTTTCGAGGGCGGAGTCTGGAGGCGGAGTCACTGGAAAGAAGGAGGCGTCACTGATCCTATATTCCCGCTATAGCGCCCTCCCTTACAACTTTTGTCACGAAACCGGTACAAGGTTGTTCGCCGCGGACCACATTACCCTCCCTACGCCATATTTTCAACTCCTATACCTGATCACGGACAGTTCCTTTAAGTCGTGGGTGAGAGATTTTTATCAAGAGTATTTCTGAATATCTCATCTTCTATCTTCTTTCACTACTGCTTTCGCTAGCAGCATTTCATTCGCGTTTGAACCCAACCATAGGATTTACGATCGCGTAGCGTACCTTTCAGGGTAAACTGTACACTCACGTTCTAGGAAGTCCTTGCCATGAGCGCGGTGAATTGGCTCACAGCTGCAATAGCGTTCCACTTTCTTCTCTCAAAAGTGCACGGGGAAAGGGCCAGAGGGTTGTGCTACTCAGTTGCCGTCTCCATACTCCTCCGCGAAATTCTCAACGTGCAGCATTTGCGTCGCTCGATCCCGTTAAGCCAACAAGTAGCGGTAGAGAACAAGTGGAGTTGAGAGAGTGCAGACAAGCGCGTTCCGCTGAGGTTACACCTGTGGCTTCTCATGTGGTAGCGTGGGCAAAACGTGAAAACGGTACTCGGCTATCATTACCCTCTAGCTCCTTTCCCTTGCACTTTTGACCGGAGAAAGTGGCGCACTATTGCTGCGGACCCGTTTGAGAGACATGGTACGATTGCACGTAGTTTGGATGTGCGTGACTATCAGCCCCCTGCCGTCGAAGTGTTGCGGTTTTCAACATGCGCAGGAATGGAGATCCAGGAGTGTGGGATACGCTAATTCCTCCACTCCGCCTAAAATGCAATTTGCGGCGCATCCGATCCGGTTTATACTAACAGCCGTTCGCGCGGCACGTATCGCGCGCAGCGCTCCTGGCACTTTGCCAAGTCGTGTAATTGCGCTTTGGAATACAATTAAAACGCCAATTCCTGATGCGGATAACATTTGAGGTGTTGCTCATGCTGCAAAATCCGAATCGAAGATGATGACGAGGGCGAACTCAAGAGCAATTGTGTTACTTCTGCAATCTCGCTCGAGGCCGCGCATTCCCTTAAAGGCAGTTGGCACGATAAATCCCCAAGACGACTAGGATCAATACTCCTGGCAGGATAGAATTCCGCGACCCTGGGCAGGCGCTGCATAGCGGTTTCCCCGAGGAAGGTGCCCTTATAAGGGCCCTATCAAGCCACAACTTTACGTCCCAAACGCCCGCCACGCCCGCCCGCCCACAAATGACTACGGGAAAACTCGTCCAAAATCGATTTTCAAGTCACTGAGAACGGAGGCTTTTTCTTCGCAGGATTTTGACCGTTTCACTCCGTTCTTTCGCCATTTCCCCACTATACAGCGCCCTACTAGCATTTTAGGCTAAGTAGGAAACCATCGTGCCAACTGCCTTTAAATGAACATGAAAACGGCCTAAGCGTCCCACTCGTTAGTTTCAAAGTATTTTTATGGCTTTGGAGCCGGAATCGCGCCGAATTGCAAAATTTACACGGGATTTTAATTAATTTACATTTCCTTGAATTTTTTTATTTTATTTTATTTCTACATTCGTTGTTCTTCAGTTCTAGCCTTTGTCATCTTCATCATCTTCGATTCGGACTTTGCAGCATGAGCAACACCTCAAATGTTATCCGCATCAGGAGTTTGCGTTTTGTATTCCAAAGCGCAATTACACGACTTGGCAAAGTGCCAGGAGCGCTGCGCGCGACACGCGCCGCGCGGACGGCTGTTAGTATAAACGGGATCGGGAGTCTGCGCCGCAAGTTGCATTTTAGGCGGAGTATGGAGGAATTAGCGTGTCCCACGGTCCTGGATCTCCATTCTTGTTGTTCATATTCGGTGGGGAAACCGCTACGCTTGGACAGCTGGGGGGTTGATAGTGACGCACACCTGAACTATATGTGGTCGTACCATGTGTCTTTAACCCCATATATGGCAACGAAGAGGATTAACGTGAGCAAGTGTGTAGATCCTCTTCGAGCAACCACCTCTTCGTGGCAGGATTCTGTGAAAAACGTTGCTTTCAGGCTATCATCGTCAAGCATGGTGAATTTGACTGAAGTCGTTGAAGAGGACTGGGTCGATTTATGCGAAGAGGGTTCACTTCTGGATCAGCCGGCCGTCCGCCTTCCGCTGATTGTCATCTATTTATCCGTATTCTGCGTATGTTTACTAGGTGAGCACGGCTTTCTTAAAGGTATTATTCCAACGACTCATTTCGTTCGTGATTAGAATAACAATGGTGTAAAAGTCCGCCTTATAACATTGGAGAGGACTGGACAAACACGGCTGAGAGGGGCATAATGAGTTGTGTGCAAGGAAAATATTGTACAGATGGCTCATTTTTTATTCTCGCCCTTGCGAGAGGTGATTTGCATTATTCGAACCATTTCAGGAAATATCTTCACGATCGTTGTCATCGTGCTGCATCCGACTATGCGAACTGGAACAAACTATTTCTTGGCGAATCTAGCGCTGGCCGATCTGCTGGTTGCTGCCTTCTGCATACTCCAAAACATGATCCACATCGTCGGATTCGACCATGGCAACTGGACACTTGGTACAGCTCACTTGAATGAGATACAACCTCT